TTTGAACACCGAGTGTACTTATAAGCCCACAACACCAAGCGCAGAGCTTTACTGTGAAGAACGGAAGCCGACCCGAGTATACGAGTAAAATCTCCTGGCACCGCTGGAAACCAGCGGCTGGGCGAACGGTTAGACAGGATCCACCCGAACCTTACTGCCGAGCCACAATCCACCCACCAAAGGCGTCAAGTAGCTTCACAACAGCCGCCCGCGTCAGGCCGCGCAGGGAATCTGAAATCCGGCGCTTCCGCTATGACCTCCACAATTGCCACACTGAGCGACAGTGAAATGAACAATAGAAATACACAGTGCGAACATGAGAGCGAAGTGACCAAACAATACAAATTGATTGCCACAAAATAGAATACAAATGAAAATATGTGAAGGCCCCAAAAAGGTAGTACGCCTGAGGTGGGCACGGAGAAGGGCCATTCGGCACCGTGCCCACCCCAGGGCGGACCGCGGCGTAGAAGCACAGGACCCGACACAACAGGTGCAGGAACCAGTTAAGCACGGAGAGGAGCCCGAACAACGTGAACCCGACCCGATCTGTCTTCGGAGAGTGCTCCACGGTCGACACCTTCAACAACAAAATTGCCGAGCCTAGCTTTCCTCGTCCTTAGCAAACCCCAAATAGAACCGAGGAGTGTGTCCACGGCGCCGTTGAGGAGTCCACAAGCACGCGACGATGTCGCGACGAGGGCGGGGGCGAGGGCCGACCATGCGCTAAAAAGGGCTATGGGGGGCACGCGCGCCGCTTGTGCTAGCAGGAGGCGGAGGAGGAGGAGGAGGAGGAGGAAGGAGGAGGAGGAGGAGGAGGAAGAGATGAGAAGAAGAGGAGGAGGAGGAGGAGGGAGGAGGAGGAGGAGGGGGAGGGAGGAGGAGGAGGAGGGTCTCCCCTGCTGTCTTCGCTCCCGAGTTTTCGTCTCTGCCACCGTCCTCCCTCTCAAAACTTAAAACGCCAAGCAGTGCTCTAACGCTGGTCCGAGGAGGGGCAATCGGCCATCGAGCCCGCCAGCACTGGTGGCCACGGCAGTGCTAAAAAGTGCAACCAATTCATCTGAACTGAAAAACGTAGCTGGCAACGCCAAGCAAGGAATAGTTGTCTTGCGTTTCCTGCTTTCCTGATGGGACCTATATGTGCACTAAAACATACTTTTCCAACACGCCGAATAAACCAACACAACTGGTTACGTAAACTAGCGCCCTGGGCATACGGTGATGGCATTGGATGAGGAAACCTTCGATAAGGAATCCAGGGTCTGGAAGCCAGTGGAGAATCCATCGTGGAGTGGCCATGGACATCGCCGCCGCCCTCGTCAGATCAGGAATCCTCCAGGGACTGAAGCCTCCTGGGCACGTTCCTTAACGAACGCCACCACCGTATTCGATGGGCCTGCTTTGCGCCACCACCACCACCATAAGTTGGAGGGGGAGGGGGTCCTCCTCCTCCCTCCTCCTCCTCCTCTTCCTCCTCCTCCTCCTCCTCGTCCTCGTCCTCCGCCTCTTCGTCCTCCTCCTCCTCCTCCTCCTCTTCGTCGTCCTCCTCCTCCTCCTCCTCCTCCTCCTCCTGCTCCCCCCTCCAACTTATGGTGGTGGTGGTGGTGGTGGTGGTGGAAAGCAGGCCCACCAGCATCTCCGAAGAACCAGGCGGCCGCACCGCGGCCGCCGAGGCCGGGGCCCGCGGCCAGTGCGCCGACAGGCGACCGCGCGCTGGGCCGGGCCTCCGCCGATGCGCGAGGCGCAGCACCGCTGGGCGGGACGCGGCGCCCGCGACGGGGGTGGGCCCCGACGGCCCGTGTGGGGCGGCGCGCGCGCCCCACGAGGAGGAGGAGGAGGAGGAGGAGGAGGAGGAGGAGGAGGAGGAGGAGGAGGAGGAGGACACGGCCGACCGGTCGTGCAACTGAAGGACAGGAGCACGGGCCATACCCATACAAAATTAGGTTAACATCTTGCCCGTCTTAGGGTCCTTCCCAGCCCTACAGGCTGAGATGATGTATTTCTGCCTAGATCGGGTAGGCCCGTGCTGGGACGCGCCATTACAGGCCGCAGATCCAAGCTTACAGTTATTCACCTTGCCAGAAGACACCTGATAGGAGCCACAAGAAGTGCAGACCATGCACTTGGGGGTAACGAGCACCTGGTGCCCGTTGAGCTCCACCACCTCCTCGGGAGGCGGCTCAGTCGGATTCGCATTCGCGGAAACGCCCTCGAGGGAGTCAGAAAATTCTAGGGCCACCCGCACAGCCTCCGCCTGCATCGGAGGCGCGCTCTGTAGCTCAGTTAGCATACTGGCTCCGAGCCTCTGTTGGGCCGTGGGCTCACACTGGGTCCCTAGAAACCTGCTGAGGCTCGC